TGTCTCTGCGTGATATCCTGATGGCAATCCAGATTGTCAACAAAGCCTCTGAAATGAGGGCCCAGAATGGCCAGCAGATCGAGAGCGGAGAGGTGAAGAAAATCACGGACACGAAAACAACCAGAGGGCGCTCTGCCAGCAAGACGTCCTCTACTATTGCTAAGAGAGCCCGCCGCCTGAGTCAAGGCGTTGCAAACCTGGACAGGACAACTGCGCCACAAAGTACAGTTGTCCTCAAGCGCGAGGAGATGTCTGCCAAGATCGACGGAGTTAGAGTCATTCTTATTGGTGACTTGCACGATCTCCCTTTGCTCGATTGGAGTGTCAAGAAATTCAACGTTGATGTGCGCGACTGGTCATCGACACTGAATGCCGATACCAACTTCGAAACGTTCTTGAACGTGTACAACTTCTCGAAGTCAGCCTGGGAGCCGTTGATTGAACCCTGGCAGCTGGGATTCCACATGGCCAAGGAGATCAACCCAGATGTTTTCTCTTTCGATGTGTATTCGCACAAGACAATGGAGCTTACAGTCACATCCGCCACGATTGCACTCGCATCCAAATCCTTCCAATTCCTCTCTACATCTCAGGATGTCCTTTCCAAGCCAAGAGGCGCTGATGCCCCATACAGAATCCGCAACTACACTGGGTTTGACCTCAGAGTTTGGGCCGATGTTAGCGCAGGAGGGGAAGGTCCAGCGGCGAAACTTACTGATGGCGAAGAATCACCATGGCGGTTTGAAGATTCCACCGCTGTCCGTGAAACATTGACACCAGAAGGCCATGGCGGAGTAGTTGGCGTTAAATTGGAAGGCAGTGGCTTCGATAGTATCAGTCGCATCCCTGTCGTGCGTGAGGGCGAGACTATCTACGCCCTGAAGCCGAAGCAAGAAAATGTTCTTCACCGGTTACTCGTGGAAGTCAAACTGGGGCCAGATAATGTCAAGTACATTACATTCCGTTCGCCACTTCTTATCGAGAACAACACCCAAATTCCCGTGGAATTGGGCGTCTTCAGCCCCAAAGACGGCCACCTGTTGAAGATAGAGAAGATTTTGCCTGGCGATGCACGACCAGCACCCGTTGGATCAGCATATCTCCATTCTATCGTTGTTCGTCCCGATCAGGGCTTCGGATATGACTGGTCAGATGAGCGACTCTTTTGGAAGGACCTCATCAAGCGACCCACACGCACTGTCAAGTGCGTTAGCGAAAGCGGACAGCAGTCCCCTCCTTTCTATTTCCAAGTCAACGCAACGTTTGATAGCAAAGATTCGCTTACGAGCGTGTATCCCTACATGAGAGTCCGAATCTTCGCCCCCGTGGAGATTCAGAACTTGTTGCCCTACGATTTCAAGTACCGCATCTACGACAAGAACACCAAGAAGGATTGGACGAACTTCCTGAGGAAGGGCGGCGTCAGCCCGGTCCACGTCGTGGAGTTGTCCCACCTGCTGTTGCTCAGCATTGACCTACAAGATACGGTCTTCCGCCAGAGCGAGTTTGCTATCGTTAACGGCAATGCTCAAGACTACCGCAGAGAGCATACCTTGTCGCTTAAGGATGAACGAGGCCTTCAGCTGAAGTTACAGCTTCATTACTTCAACATTCCCAACAGTGGTGGTGCTTTCAAGGTTTCTGTGTACAGCCCGTACCTTATCTTGAACAAGACTGGCCTTCCAATGGATATCCAAAGCAAAGCATTCCTTCAATCTGCAAGAAATGCTGCTGGCCAAGGACTCAGAGCCGATCCAAGAGACGAGGGCCGTGCACTCCCATACATGTACTCTTATGCCAACGAGGATCAACGAAACCGATCTATCCTAAAGGTGAGCGATTCTGCATGGAGCAAGCCGCAGAGTTTCGAGGCTATTGGTAGTACCTTTGAGGTCATCTTCCCCGATCGCCAAGGCAGATCTGAGTTCCACTCCGGAGTCTCTGTTGCCGAAGGTGAGGGCAAGTACAAGTTGACCAAGGTGGTCACACTTGCTCCACGTTTCATCCTAAAGAGCAAGCTCAACGAAGATATTCTCGTGCGCGAGCCAGGATCGTCCAATGTACTCCAGGTTCAGAACGGGCAGTTGGTACCGCTTCATTTCCTTCGTCAAGTCCAAGAGAAACAGCTGTGTCTCTGCTTCCCGGGCGTTAACAACCAATGGTCTTCTCCGTTCAGTATTGCAGATGTTGGAACTGTGCATATTAAATTAGCCAAGGCGAATCAGCGGCAGAAGCTGATCAAGGTTGATATCATCATGGAAGGAGCAACTCTTTTCTTACACTTTAGCGTCGAGTCTCGCAATTGGCCGTTCTCTATGCGTAACGAAAGCGATATGGAGTTCATTTTCTACCAAGCCAATCCAAACGTGGAAGATGATGACGAAGACGACCAAACCAGTGGCTGGAGGCCGATCCGGTATCGAATTCCAGCCCGGAGTATCATGCCGTATGCATGGGACTACCCGGCGACGAAGAACAAGTCACTTGTCTTGACCTGCCAGGGCAAAGAGCGCCACATCAAGCTTGCTGAGATAGGAAACCTCATTCCAATGCGGATTCCGCCTTCGCAGGCTGGCGGATACCAGAAGATCATTGACATCAACATTGCTGCTGATGGCCCTACTCAGACTCTCGTGTTGTCCAATTTCAAAGCATCGAAGAGTATGTACAAGCAACAAAGAGGACAATCCTCCCAGACAGGTACGAACACTGGGTTCGAGGTCAAGGAAATGAACTCGGACGTCAACTTCAAAGCCCAACTTCGCCTAGGTGGCATTGGAATCTCATTGATCAACCAGAACCTAAAAGAGCTGCTGTATCTCACATTCCGCGAGATTGAGATCAAGTTCAGGGAGTCGAGATTGTACCAGACTCTGAACACTACTATCAAGTGGATACAGATCGATAACCAACTCTACGGTGGAATTTTCCCCATCTTGCTTTACCCCAGTGTTGTTCCAAAGACTGGCAAGGAGATGGAAGCACACCCGATCTTCCATGCAATGGTTACACGGGTAAAGGACGACTCGTACGGTGTTCTCTACATCAAGTACGCGACCTTGTTATTGCAGCAAATGACACTCGAACTGGATGAGGACTTCGTCTTTGCCATGCTTGACTTTGTTAAGATTCCGGGTGCTTCCTGGGCCGAGGAACAAGAGGGCAAACTGTGTGATGAAGACCTCAACATTCCCGAGCCGCAACAGGCAGACAATGGTCAGGATGTGTACTTCGAGCTTCTTCATCTCCAGCCCATGCAGATGGATATTTCTTTCATGCGCACTGAGCGTGTCAATGTGGAAGATGAAATGCAGCCCTCTAACCCGTTGATGTTCTTTGTCAACGTCATGACAATGTCGATGGGTAATGTCAATGATGCTCCTGTCCGACTCAACGCTCTGATGCTTGAGAATGCCCGTGTCTCTTTCCCTAGCCTGGTCGGCAATGTCCGTGCACACTACACTCAAGAGTTCCTGCGCCAGATCCATATCATTCTCGGTTCGGCCGATTTCCTGGGTAACCCTGTCGGTTTGTTCAACAATGTTAGCTCTGGTGTCGCTGCCATCTTCTATGAGCCATACCAGGGTCTGGTCATGACTGACCGTCCCCAAGAGCTGGGCATTGGTATCGCAAAGGGTGCGACAAGCTTCGTCAAGAAGTCCGTCTTCGGATTTTCGGACAGTATGGCCAAGCTCACGGGAAGTATGTCCAAGGGTCTCGCCGCCGCTACTCTTGATAAGGAATTCCAAACCCAGCGCCGGATGTCCAAGGTGCGCAACCGCCCCAAGCACGCTCTGTATGGAATCACGGCTGGTGGCAATGCATTTGCAACTAGTCTAGCGAGCGGTATCGGTGGCTTGGCCCGTCATCCACTGCAAGGTGCCGAGAAAGAAGGTATCCAAGGATTTTTCAAGGGCGTCGGAAAGGGAGTCCTTGGATTGGCTACCAAGCCAGCAATTGGTGCATTCGATCTTGCCTCCAGTAAGTTGAACCATGTTCTCTCTCTGGTAATTCATAACTAATAATTCCCTACTAGATCTGGCAGAAGGTGTTCGCAACACCACTACCGTTTTCGATGCCGAAGGCCTCGACCGTGTTCGACTCACTCGCTTCATTGGCACCGATGGCATCGTGCGTCCGTACTCGCAGCGCGAAGCTCTCGGGCAGTTCTGGCTGAAGACCACGGACGACGGCAAATACTTCAACGAGGACTACATTGCCCATCTAGAGCTTCCTGGCCGAGACATGCTGGTCTTGTTGACTTACGCACGCATCATGCTAGTGCGCACAAAGAAGCTGTGTAATGAGTGGGATATCCGTCTCACGGATATCCAGACCATATCCAAGGAGCGCACTGGAATGAGTATCACGCTCAAGGGTGGTGCCAACGGACCATTCATTCCTGTCCAAGACGAAAGCTCACGGAACTGGCTATATAGACAGATTGCTATTGGTAAGTGATTACCCAGATCATGCTAGATAATGTTACATGCTAACCAGATTTATTTTCCAGCGGTCAATGCTTTCAATGAGAAATATAATGCCAGGGGATAGAATGCATGAGGCCCTGGGGGTTCTTAATGATGTCATGAGATGGACTGCTTTCATTTTTGGGACGGGGATTATCAAAATTCAGAGAGCATATGAAGGGTAAATTGCTCTCGGTTTCTCAGCTTCCATTCACGTACATAGGTTGCCTAATTTTTGCATCCTAGCCTGTTTTGATGGCTTTTTTTTACTGCTCTTCTTTTATGTATACAGCGAGGAAGAGTTTGGTTTTTGTGCAATTCTACGATTTGTTTAATAGAGCTCAATCAGATAACTTTAGTATCTAAAATTAACTTGCCTTGTAAAATATCTCCTTCGTAATTTAAGAACTGGAACAATGGGCGACTCCCTAATAAAAATGATATCAAAAGGGTTCAGATTCCTCTAAAGTAGAACTCCAAGCAAAAGAAACCAGAGAGCTCAACAAGCCAACCATCTTCAATGGATATGAATCAAGGAACAGCCCTGTCTGGCCCCATCTCCTGAGCCGTGTTCTTGATCGTATGAAGAAAAATAGACGGGAAACAATGTCGACCATAACGATCCTCAGAGATCTAGAACAGATAAATCAGTCAGTTGTTCCCATAATCCCAAAATCCACACCAAATCAACCAAAACAATAGAAGAAGACATGTCTCACCGTTTTCCCACCCTCATGCTCCGCAGTCCTGTACCCAAGCCACCGTCTGTACAAATCCTCCCCGCTATGCGTCGTAAACATATACGACAACCGGTACATAATATGATCAAACATATGATCAAAATTCCAAATACTATCAGGACCCCCATTAATATCCTCCGGCAGACCAGGGTTGTAGATCCGCGCCAGTTCCCTCGGCGTCCATTGCCCATCCGCATAGATAGGGTGCGGAACATGCACAGCCTTGAGACCATGGAACAGAGCCCACGACGCACCCGTCATCTCCGACGCAAGACCAAGGCCCTTCGTCGCCTGCGCATGGTGGATCAGATCCAGCAGACGCTTGGAATACCGACCCATTGTGATGACCGCCGCGCGGCGCGGCGTCCACGGTCCGTGTCTGAAGTTCCAGATCTTGTCTGGGAATGTCCACTGTGTGTCGTGCGGGTTGAAGATTGGGAGGAACGTTATGAAGTCTGCTTCTTCGCCTATGCCCCAGGTGTAGTTATCTTGGTCTGGGGATGGTACTGGAGGGTCTGGGCCCAGTGGTCTGATCCCGGTGCCGGATACGGGGCCCCAGATTGTGCGGTTGGATCTGTCAGATAGGCTTTCGTCTACCATTTGTGTGAACTCGCCCCAGCTGCCGTGGGCGCCGGGGGTGTAGAAGTAGGCGTTGCGTTCCCAGAGGTATTTTCGGGGCTGTTCGCGGGCAAATGAGACGGCACGGTCTAGGAAGTGGTAGATGTGGCCGGTGTTTCGACCGTCCATTTCTAGTTGCCAATAGTAGTCATAGTGGGGATACAGCTGGGAGAAGATTTGTAGAGGTTGGTGGTGTTGCAGTTGGGGACTGTGAGTGCTGTTAGTCAAGTCTGTCTTTGATATCAGTCAATAGGGAAGGGTTGACTTACCTGTGCTCTTCTATCTTCGGATACCAAGCTTCCAAGAGTTTGTTGTTGAAGAAAAGAGCCATATTCCGAAATTCCTTAGGGATAGCATTCCTAAGCCGGTTGATAGTCTTGATATCAGAAAATATGGGCATCTCGTTTTCCTTGACATGACACAAGAGATAGATTTGATACTCCCCACCAGAATGCAAGGAAAGTTCCATAATCAAAGCCCGAAGGTATTCACGGTGGTGAGGCTTCCAATTGAGCCCATTCCACACCCGAATCAATACAGCGGAGCGAGGATGGAACCACTTCACACCTGAAGCAGCCGCAGGTGACTTCCCTGATTTGTGAGGTTCCTGGGGAAGATCGAAGGCTAATGGGCTCGGGTTCGAGGAGTTCGCAGTCTCGATGGATTCGTATCTGTCTGCGTTTCGTTCCAGGCACATATTTTGCAGCCTGTCCCAATCAACCTCGCACCACGGCACAGCGGGAGGACGCGTGAAGCCCGGTACCTCGTCCTCGCCATCGTCGTCGTATCCATATGCCCCGAAGCGGGAGTACCGGTCCGTGCAAACGTTTCCATCTAGACCCAATGCCTCGTATGATCCGAATCGTGGTGCTGGGAACTCGGCTTGTTGGCCCTTGTAGACTTGTATCATGTCTTCTGCAGACCGGCGGTCGAGATAACGACCTCTGGGGCCAAGGCAGGGCTGGAACTTTCCATGGAACTGCGTCTTCCATTCTCGGCTGTTGTAGGCCGGGTATGGATCGTAGATAAGTGGGACTGGGTGTGAGGCATTGACGGACTCGATACTGGTTAGGGTTAAGGTACCGCCCTGATAGAATCGCTTGTCTCTAATGTAAGGGTCATTTTTAGCATAATATTATACCAGTACACTCATATGGTATTCGGAATAGGTACAAACCTCCGATCATGTGCTATGCCCAACGAATCCGGCTCAGGTGAATCTTCGTCTGCTACCCTGTCCCACACACCAACAGTTCCATGATACTGACCGGGTCGAAGAATCCCGGGGCCACGTAACGAAGTATAGGCAGTCATAAGATTTGTCTCCGGGTACCCAAAGAGACATGAGCTAGTCTGGAGAACGGTGACCAGACAGGCAAGATACCCCAACCAGCGCAGCCAGATCCACCGGCGATCCCATGGAGAGACAGCAGACCTGGTGTAAAATGGAGACGGTGTCCTGTTTCTTGTGAGGAGTTTCATAGCGAGCGGCAGTTAAGGAACAAGGTAGATAATTGCATCCTTTGGCTTTGGAAGCCACAGTATGTGCGTGGTGTACGTGGTAAGATGGAAAGGGAAGTGCAGAAGTGGGCAATCAGATTGTATGGACAGGTGAAGTATATATGAGAGAAATCTGAAGCAATGGAATTGCTTCATCGTAATATCTACGAGAGTTTGATCTTTCGGGGGTTTGAGAACTACGATGTCATCACTACGCGGTGTTGACTGCATCTCCGACTAACACTTGGGTAATGCCACACTAGACAGGACAGAACATTGTCTGAAGTTGTATAGGTCAAAATCGTTATATCATGATTATCATACAATGTATCACGCCGCGGGGCATACGAATACCTTGTAAATAGTATTAGATCAGACCAACATGGTAGAAGAATTTCCAAATGTTTCCATTTGAGTGGATGTCACCCTCATTTCCCGATTTGGCTGCTCTTTAAATCCGTAAAGCACGAGCTTTAACCATTGCTTGTTCTTTCCCTCACACTTGCTTCTTGTGGCGTATCACGAGGGAGAATTATAGAGCCTTGGAACACAATGTGTTGGTCCCAGCTACCTACAATCTCAAATATGGAGAATTCCACAGTGTTTATATAACCAAAAGAAAAATAGCACATATCTTTCATTTCCGTACTAAAGATAGCCCACCCTATCAGACAGCGCATGATGAGGGGTGGCAAAAGGAATATATACGAACGGCCATTAATCACATTGTTATTAGGAGTTGTTTGATCAGAGAAACCAATGAGATACCCTACCAATCCAATGTAACCAAAGAATGACAATTACCCAAGCTCCATTTACGCAAAGTAGCTCTTCCATAGAACACCTGATAAGTCTTCGAGCTGATCCGACGTGAAAGCCTATAATAATAATGGTTAGCCCGTTTGCTTCAAAATAGGACCGAGGTTAAACGCATAAGCACGAACCTTTGCATCAATGTGCCAAGTATCTTGTCTAGTCTTCTTAAACTCGCTGATAATCGACTTCACGCTCGAACCAACGATGCCAGGATCATTGGCCGCGCGGATACTGAGCGAAGTCAATGCCTCGGGCATCCAGTGAGGCGGAGGACTGTTGTAGGGGAAGGCCTGGATCAAAGCGCCAAGACCCAGCACAGCACCGTGGCGAAGAATAATCAAGCGGTTGTGCTCTGGAGTGGGGGTTCCAGCGCCAGATGACACAGCGGAGGAGGCAATTCCGGAGCGGAAGTTCTTCGGTTTCTTGGGGAGAGGGTTGTCTGCCAGAACCTTCGTGAAGCGTTCATGGAAGCGACCGACCATCTTTTCCCGCAAGAAGACGGGCGAACACCGGACCATACCAGATAGTGTGGCCGAGGCGCCAGCACGGACTTCGTGTTGGGGGTCTTCGAGCATGGAGGCGATACACTCGAAGAGCTTGTCGCGGTCTGCGGGGTCGAGCAGGAACAGGCGGCGGAAGTAGATGATTTGGATGTTGATCATAATACGCAGGCGCTGGTGCCATGATGGGGATGTCTGTCCGATGCGGATGAGAGATTGGATGAATTCGGAGTCTTTCTCGGCTGGGTACGGGATGTTGGGGAGATGACGGAAAACGTGGTATGCGAGGGACTGAAGCTCTGGATCTTCCTTCACATCCATCATGTGCAGGAGCTGCGCCGTGAAGACATCAGGGAAGAATGAAACAAGCTGGGTACACTCATGAGAAGACAAAGTTGAGTCCAGCCAAAGGAGAACAGTTTTGCTACCCGAGGTGTAGGATGAGGGTGTCTGTTGGCCAGGAGTTCTGGCCTTCCGCCATTCCTCGATTCGACTGAAAACTCCACGAATCACCTTCGTAAAGTCTTCGGTAGGCGGGTAAGGGTATGCACCAACAGAAGAGGAGGATTTCTGGGCCTCGAGAAGATGCTGAACGTCAGGGTACGACTCGTGGTACCTCGTGCGATAAATAGTTGCAAGAGTCTGACCCATTGCCTCGCGGACGCCCTTGTACGGGTGGTCCAAATGTGCAAGGAAATCTTCCACAATGGGCTTCTCAAGCTGATAGTGCCAACCGGAATCAATGATACATTGATGCAGGAGGTTGATCTTGGAACTTTCCTTGAATGCTGCGTTCGTCGACATGTCAAGACGGAAGCTGGATAGCCAATCGACCAACGGCCACGCGCGGCGGGGATCACGGCATTGAAGGATCATGTGAAGGAATGTTGTCCAGTAGCCAGAATTCTCTGGAGTGAGGCCGTCGGTGAAGATCTTTCGTACGATAGGGAATGCATACTCCCAGACCATGGTCCGCTTCTCCACGCCTGTATCCGTCACCGAGGAGATCAAAGCTCCGAGGATTTCGGCCGTGGCACGATGTTGGTGCTTATCACTGCCGTCTTCAAAGACGTCCTTGATCTCTTCTTTGATTTCCTCGAACGAGACGGCTGTAAGCCCATCCCGAATCATGAGCTCAAATGCATAGAGAAGCATCATGGCACAGGACATGCGGAACTTGTCAGCAGATGGGTCCCGTGGCTCTTGCTTCAAATACATGAAGAACTTGGAGAACCACTCGCGAGTGAACAACTTGCCCATCTTGGTGCGAACCTTCCATTCAACATCGTCATACTCGATGTCCCGTGCTACATTGGACTTGTAAGCCGGCATAGTCTTGCCCCATACGAGCCAGCCCGGGAAGTCGTGATCAACGTAGTACTCCGCCTCGGGCTTCGCAAAGCTAGAAAGATACTCTTCGGTGTATCCTTTCTCATGGGGTTTGGTTGCAACCTTTATCTTTGATGGGAATCGCTGATGACCAAGAATGTAGTTCTTGTACTCGTGAGTGCAGATGGCCCGCACATCAACCATAGTGAACAGCGCAATGAGAGCCTGGGAGTACATGCCTCGCAAGCCAGGGTGGTCGTCAATAGACCCGAGTGTCATCAGTTCAATCAAGTTATCGCTGGCGATGTAGTCGAAGCGGAGACCCATAGTGATGACGATAGTCGCGGCGCGGCTGGCAATCTTCCAATGGGATACCCGTGCCAGGTTGACCAGCTCTTCGGCCAGGTCAGCTTTCTTTTTCTCGATAGCAACGCGCTTGCTGTTGACAACGGCGCGCTTCTTCTCAATTTGCCCGGTGACATCTTCAGTGGGAGCAATTGCCTCCACAATTTCTTGATCTAGGATAGCCATTCGCTCCATCGCGCGACCGTAATCCATGACCTGGAAGACAGCGGTGGAGCAAATCTTCTGGACAGAAGGCTTATCAACGGCGCTGGCATCGATAAACGTTCTGACCACGGCAGGCGCATACTTCCAATGTCGCCCGACAGTTTTGGCTACACTGCTCAAAAGCAGTGAGTAGAGCGCTCCCTTGATGCGTGCATGATCATTTTCCTTGACACCCCTTTGCAAAGCTGTGAGTAGAGGGGGAATGACGAGTAGTCTGCCACCATAGACCGCCTTGAGTGCTGATTCGCCGGCGTTTTGAGCATTACGGCGCGTTTCTGTGTAGAGAGAGACACAAGATTCGGCAATATCAAGGAGGAGAATTTCATCGAGCTTGGACCGGGGACGGGGAGAAGCGTTGTGTCGCAGGCGTTGGAGGTGATACACGTTGGCTCTGCGCACAAGCAGGGCTCTGGGGTAATCCTTTCGCATACCACTCATCTTATAAGGGTGAATATCCGCGGCCAAGAGGCGAGTCACTCGGTCGAGTACATGAGCGGACCTCTCAATGCCCACATCAACAAACCACGATCTGAAGGCAGAGTACAAAGCCCCAAAGCAAGGAACATCATCCTCCTGATTGTCGCTCAAGAACCGGTGTACATCATGCAAGACCCAACCAGTTCGCTCACGGAGTTCATGGATGGTACTATATAAGGGGTCTCCCTCCTTGAGGGCATACCCAGTGGGGTAGGTGAAAGCCTGTCTGATTATAGCATCATCAGAGCTGTCCAGGACAGTATCGGCGTCTTCATCAACGTCATTTGAAACACCCGAATCATCACCCATCCCGACATCCCCGGAGGCGCCGTTCGAGGGTCCTTGTGTCGTGGTTGATGCGGCTTTGGGGTCAAAGAGGACAGAAACTCCAGACAACACGAGCCGCAAGAGCACAAGGTTCCGAGTAACCTCATCTGACCAGTCCTTGCCGCTTCCATCACGTTTGACAAGTGATGTCTCATGAGTCAGCGCAGATAGCGACTTCAAAGCCGTCTCTGTTTGGATTTTGAAAACGTCGACGGCAAACTCAATTTCCTGACGTGTCGGTACATGCCAATTGATGTTGAGGTTGTTTACATCGGCTTGGTAACTCCAAAGCTTCGGCTCGATGCCGTTCGCTTTGATAGAAGGTTCGTAGAGTGAGAAATCATTAGTGTAGGTCCCAGTCAGGTTGAGCAAAAGGTGATGGATGAAGTTGGAGATATGAACTGTAGGAATGCCACGGCAGTTCTGTTGCATATACACTGCAATGTCAAACAGTTCCTGGCGGTGGCCAATGACAGCGCTGCCGACGTGTACCACGCACATGCTCAGCATACTGACATTCCAGACCAGACCTCGATCACGAGGCAAAACATCGGTTCCTGTGGTTCGGGTTGATCCAGCACCATTGTCTTCGATCTCAGTGCGAATAGCTGCGGTCAAGACAGGGACGAAACGCTTCAGGGCCTGCTCTGGGTTAACCTTGCATAGCGCGTTGCAGATGAAAGCCATTGCATCACGAGCCTGGTGGATGACATGGTTGGACACGAAATCCACAATCTTTCCCAAAGCGATATCGTAATACTCCGGAGACAAAGAAGCGAGCAAAGGCATAAACGTGGCGGGAAGAGTGTTCACGATATTCTCTTCGGGTGAACCGTTTCGAACCCTGGAGACATCCGGCAGATTTTCCAAGAGTGTGAAAACACGACCCAGGAAAGCTATCGTGAAGTCTCCGAAGCCACATGTGGATGAGCGCAAGATCAATTCCTCGGTCTCATCATCCAG